AATGACCGAAAAATAAAAAAAGTTTATTAGACCTTTGTTCACACTAAAATCCACCAATACACCATGCAAAATAGCATCCATAGTTAGCAACTAGTATGTGGTAGGAGCTTCTGTCACAATCTGAGCATGTGCTGCTAAATTGCGCACAAAAATGCCACCTTGCATCATGTGTCGCGGATGCCAGGCCACATTATGTACATGTGCATGAGTGTGCTGGTCCCCACATGCACAGTCAGTGTAGCACATTTTTTTCTTTTTTTCTTCCAGACTCCTGAATCGTATGCGCACGGGTGACGAGAAACATAGAAATAAAAACGTGTGGCCTTATAAGTTTTTAAAAGTAAATAGTCGACGGGGAGATAATAACCATTTTAGTAAATAGTCGACCGGGAGATAATAACCAGTGATGCAAAGGAATATTCTAGAATGCCGACACCAGAAAGAATACCGTACTTGCGCGGTTAGAGCCCTGTCTCGAATAGTGCCCCAGTCTCTAAGAGCCAGTGGTGAAACGAATATTCGAATATTCGAACATTCGTTCGGTTTGTCACATTCGAATATTCGTTAAGTCACATTCGAGTATTCGTTACGTCACTTCGAATGCAGTGCCTGTACATACATGGACGCCGAACACAGTACAGTGCAGTGCGTACAGCCTGCCTGTGACTTTGTACTGTATGCATGCATATGTATGTGCATACTGGACTGCCAATGGTGCACATAACATGTATGAACTTCGAAGTAGCCTTATGTGGCAGTACGTTTTATGTGGCACTACCGTTTGTCATACCTACGTAATGACAGTATCCATCAAATGACTGGGAGGAGGGCATGTGATGTCATCTCTGTTACCAAAAGAATATTCGTTCATTCGTTCGTTAAGCCGAAGAATATTCGGCTAGTAGGTTTTGACATTCGTTTCACCACTACTAAGAGCCAGTGAAAAATAAAGCCCTCTCTTGAATAGTGCCCCCCCCCCCCCTCAGCTTGAAACCAAGCTCACGTGCAAGTTAGCGTTCTTTTGTTAATGTTCTTGTCCATGCTATTGCACTGGTAGTTTTAGGATCAAAATCGCCGTTCTTGTTGCCCGGCGTTTCTGTTGAGTCGTGATAGTTTACAGTAAACTTTAGGCTCTGTTTTGCTTTCTGTTTATACTGGATGATGCAAATGTACCGGCGTTGAAAGAATAGTGCCCTCTCTTGATTAGTGCCCCATCTGTGATGGACATTGAAAACTTGAATAGGCCCCAGGGGCACGAATCGCGCGAGTACGGTATTCGAATGCAGGCAGTAACATTCCAATATCCTATTTATAAGAAGAAAAGAGGACCAAAGAGCCACAAGTTGCAGCTATAATCTCTTTTCTTCTTATAAATTAATCCTTGGCTCTCAACCCAAGAATATTCTATTACTCGAGAATTCGTGCTCTGTTGCTGTGTTATGCAGCTCTCACCATGATCTCCTCTGTAGTGTTGACTGCTGAGGATGAGAGGGAAGAACTGATTATGTTTTGAGAACTATGAAGCTTGGTCATTGGTCAAATTTCCTCTTTCATCAGCAGATATTTACTATCCATGCGAAGTGATTGAGCCACTTCAGAAGACTATAGAATACTCATTTGTTCGCCAAAGCAACATTCCAGGGAATATCGTTCGAAGAAAACATCATTTGTTGCATTCTGATCGAGACTACGGTGGGTCATGGACGGCATGGGTTCGCGGTAGCATGTGCCCGCTCCTAGCTGCAAGCCGGTTCATGACTCACCTCTTAATTAAGTCAAGACAGAGCTGTGCAAGCCAACCTGCTGTGTGTTCAACAGCTGCTTACAAAGATACACAAATTAGTATCTAATTAGTGCCGATAGGTGCTGGATTCTCCTAACCCCGTACAACTCCTGGTCTGCACCGTATGAATGCCTAACAGACACCCTAAGGCCTTCCCCACCCCGGATATAGAAGACTAGAAAACCAGGGACAGATTAGTCAATTGCATGCAATGCCCCCCCCCCCCCCCCTCCGATCATGGAAGCCTTGCGTGCATGCAGGCACAGCCGGCTACATTTCCTACTGGTCTATTCAGACATTTCAGGTGCAGCACCATACCGGTGTACGCAGGTCTAGGGCTACGCTAGCACTCGCCGCCCCATTCACTTGCCCGCTCGGATTTCATTGAGCAGTGCTGTAGTTGTTGCTACATGTACATAGTATGGATGTACTCCCTGCAACTTTGCATGGAGTAGCATTCCACTCTCCATGCAATATACCCCATGCCAAGACGAGGACGCATCCTGACCGTGGTACTGAGCTGTAGTAGGTCTACTAGTACACAGTCACCAGGTCCGGCATGCACGCAGTTACCCCGTCACACATACACACGACACAGTCACAAGGCAGGACTGTACTTACCTTTGAAAATGTTCAGCTGTAGCAGTGCAGGAGTGTAGCCCGCTCTGTAGCCCTGCCGTGCCTAGCTTTTACAGTCAGTGTGGGTCGGCGCCGAGCTTCCTTCCTTCCTTTGTGCTGTTCACCAATCACCATCTCGATCTCCTCTTCATTATCCGCATATGCAGAGCACTCGTGGGATCATGTCACCCTTCTGCTAGTATCCTGTCATGCGGACGAGGGTTGTGTTCCAGCTGCTCCTCGATCCTCCCACTACCGAGTGTCGTCAGAGCTCAGCAGATACGCATCACGATAAAATTACAATTGTTGCACCGGTAGAGTAACTACGAGTAACTAGCTAGCCGGCATGGCAGAGCTTTGGCCAGAGACAGAGGTATCGCTTTGTAGCTGACTACTTAGTGCCCGCAAGCTAGCACGCATGCAAAGTGTGAGTCCACAAAGCTTTGAGTGCGGTTCTGAAGCCGGAGCTCGTGGGGACCCAGTACAAAGCTTGAACTGCCGGAGTGAACGTTTTCATTCCAGCACTAGCGCGGACGAGGCTGTAGATCATGATCTACGGTTGGCTCTGAAAAAAAGAGAGAAAAAGAAGGAGCTAGGAGGAGGCCGGAATCATCATTGCAAGCAGGGCGAAGAAACGATTTCCTGGTGGCAAGCCCAAACAACATCATGATTCGCAGTTTCGCTGTTGTCCGGCAGCTTCTTGTCCTGCTGCTGCTGCGAACGGCTACCGCCAATTATTTGGGCCAGTCTTCACTTCAGACGAGGCGTGGAACCCAACGGTCGGGCTCGCATCAAACTAGCTATTCTTCGCACCTGGCGCTACAGCGCAGGGCACCAGTTGCAGTTATCAACACGCCATGGAAGTACGCGGTGAACACTAGCGCCGAGATTGTCGACTACGTCTGCCACAAGCCGAAATCGACTTCGCAGTCGCATTCTACACGCGGCCAGGTCAAGAGCACTAGGTCAGCAACCCAGGACCAAGGTCAAGAAGATTCGAGCAGAGAGGTCAATACGTGCACGCGTGGTGATTATGCCGAGCTATTGTACTGCTCGCTGAGGTATGTCGGAGAGAGAGATGTGGCAAGATGCACCGCGAAGATGAAGGAAGGTGGATCTGGTCAGCCTTCGATCTATTGCACCTTACTGATTCCTGCTATGTTTAGCTTGGAACGATCTCAGTTCATCTGGAGCAAACAATGGAAACTGAGACCAGTCAAATGTCTCGGCTGGAATCACCTCCTGCAGCTGGGCCAGCGAGTTGTGAGCGACTGCAAATTGCAAGACCCGCAATATGATGCCTGCGCAGCACCCAAAGGGGGATGTTCCTTGCCTTTTCGGAGAGAGTCTTGTTCGTGGCAATGGCTGGCCAAGGTGTCTCTGCTAGCCCTGTCTGAGTCGTTTGCACCGCTACGTCACATGCGTGGGAGTGTGATCACCCAAATCAACCAGTCCGTGGCTTGTTGGGAACCTATCCTGGAAGCGGCCAGACGCCAGTATAACTTGTTGGGAAAATGGGATGTGGATGACATGTGCATTGCTACAGTTCGCTCTGTGGCCGCCCGTGCTGTCAAGTGTGCTGTGACCAACATGTACACGAAGATTTACTTGAGCAATCGTCGCGGTGTCATACGCCCGATCTTAGAGCATTTGAAGCTAATCTACCGAGATAATGAGCAATTGATGTATGATAGATATTTTGAGCCATTGTTCACTCGTTTCAATGAGACGGCAAGAGTTCGTCGCTCCGCCACCGGTCCCGTTGTGGTGTCGTGTGAAGGACTGCGAGGGGCTCACCCACACGCCACCCTGCTGCAGCTGATACGCCTGGCCTTGATCAATGACATCCGCTCGTCGTCTTACACGATGCCCGGGATGGTACTACTATCCTTGGCCAACATGCTCTTGCCATGCTGTTTGTCAGGGCTGTAACACAATGGTGACAGAGTAGAGGCACACATAGCGGTACGACTCGTACACGCACATAGCTCAGCTCACTGTCACTGTCACTGTGTTTGTATCAATCTTTTGTTTATTTTCCATCGATATCGAACGGGCACGCAGATCTTATTGTACATGTTTGTAAGTGCACTTCAAAGCCTGCAACAAAGACCAGTAGAGTCATGATCCTTGAGTGATGGCAACGCTACTGCAGGTGATGTACATGTTCTGCTTCTCAGTACAATCCATCCACATGTAACATCACAACACCTTGTCTCTTACCTGCAGCAAATGGCCTACTGTTTGTTACTTTGAAGTAGGTTTGCAGGTTGATGATGGCGCAATGCTGCGTTCTTCTATGTAAATATGAAGATGGTTTCGCGACTGACAATCGTGAGCAGAGCATTGACAAGTACCCGCCACACCGGCTGCTCGCGATGTGGTTTATGGATGCTGCTGAGCACCTGTATTATTCATCTTAGTGAGCCATAGCCATGTTCGTATTAATGCTGAATGTGTGCAGAAGTGGGATTTGAACCAAAGCAAAGGCCACACATACCAGTGACGATGTAGACCATGGCCACAGCATACCTTGCACATGTCATGCTAATCCCCGTGTGCTGCACCGAATCCAAGACGACACCGTCGCAACCACAAGTACTTGCGAGATGCGAGTTAACTAGCCACCGGCAGCATGCCGGATCTGACATTGTGTGGCAAAGAGCACATGTACATGTATGCTAGGCGCACAGAAACACGCACGCTGCTGTAGCAGAATACAAAGAGCAATGAAAAGAAGACAAACTAGAATGATAGGAGTATAATTCGGGTGATGTGTAAACGTTACAACAGGTACAGGCACGGGTACACTGATTGGCCATTTCCATGATAATTACTGAAATCAACAATAACCATTTAAAATAAGATCGTCTCGTGAATCTCTGTGGGAACTTAAAAAACTATAACCAAAGTACATGTAACACAAAGCTAAGGACTCTTTTCCATCTAGGAATCGACTCGGAGAGACGTCTCCAAAATATAGTAAGGATTGCCACCAAGATGTCTTGGTGTCAACCCCGGCAAGGCAGCATAGAGTAGAGTGTCCAGTGAGTGAACTACTGGCATTTAGTTACAGCCACCTCCACAGAGAGTCCAGTGAGTGAACTACTGGCACCTATTACAGCCAGAGAGTCCAGTGAGTGAAGTACTGGCTGGCACCTGCTACAGCCACCTCCATACTAACGTTGCTATTGGCCAAGCTAAATAGGTGGCGGGCAGCGTCCAAAGCCCTGAAAATGATTGCTAAAACAAAGAAGAAAACTCATGATACAAGTAGTTCTATCTTGCTAGTCTGTGCTTCTTCCGGATCCGTCGATCAGCTCATCACCATCACGCGAAGTTATGTAGCGATGCAACTGACGGCCAAAGTCTTTGCCTACGTGCGTTGTCCGGCCCATCACACCCATTCCACGCCGAACCTTTGCACCAACACGTCCAGCCAACACACACACACACACACACATGCCATGCACACAAAGAAATGCAGAGATCGCATCCCATGCACGCAAAGAAATGCAGAGATCGCTTGCTATGTCAACTGTGCTGAAACTAAATTAATTCTCCATGAACAAATTGCAATGTTAATTCTACGGACAGCTCCTCGCAGGCAACCTTGACAAAAAAGAACAATATATTCAATAGTGCATGTGTTGACAAAGCAACATACCTCTATTCCAGTCATGAGCTGATCAATTTGCTTGCCATTCTCACACTTCAGACATTCCTATGGGGAAAGAACACCGATGCACCCACGCACAACCAAGGAACACACAGAACACCCACAAATGTGCGCACACATGTGCGCACGCACACGTACACACACACACACACACACACACACAACCAGCACAGGCATGAGCATACTGTAATGGTCCCATCGCATGAAGGTGCTACGGAGACTAGTCTTGTCTGGCTTCACGCCTACCTGAAATCCATGCCCAGGCTCAGGGTACATGTATACATAATTTTCAATACATTCCAACTCCAAGCCATTGCAAGATGTCTCAACTTGATCCAGTGCTAAAAACCAATCAAACATTCTAACCTGAAGAAGATGCCTCGGCGAAGGAAATGTCTGAGAAATGGCGGCGGCCTTATCATGTCCAACACCATGGATTTGACGCAACTGCTGCTGCCAAGCGCGACCACAACCTACCCCGTTGTTGTCAATCTGCAAACAAGACAAGAGTTACACTGTTGTCAAGAAAGTTGCCAGTCACTTTGACTACAGTCCATTCATTATTAAAACGATGGGCGCTGGCTCTGGTGAGCTCCGGTATTTGGTGACTTTCGTGATCTTATCGTACACGGCGCAGTGACACAAAAATTGGAAAAGGTCCCAAAAAGGTACTTCAACTGGGGTTGAACCGCACACTGCACTGTTACAAGTGGAGTCAAACGGCCTGGATTTACAGGGTTTTCCCAATTCAGTGCTTTTGCGGCAAAACCTGGCCGAAATCCTATTCTGGCTACTATGGCTCGCTTTTCGGAGAAACAGACTTCAGAAACATAATTGGAAGAGTATTCCATAGGGGGTTGCAAAAATTCTTTAAAAAACTCAAAGTTTGATCCATTTATGGCCAAAAGCAAGAATATCATCTTTTTATGAATGGGCCATGCTCCCTCATGTATTGAAGCTGCTGGAGAAATTAGCAACGCACTGGGATGAATGTCATTTTCTACGAACAAACATTCTTACGAATGTTTACCAAGTGAACGAATGAACGAATATTCTAAGTTCCATGCTTGAAATGTGCCAACGTTATGGCTCACATGCAGCCATAGCAAAAAGAGAAAAGGAAACAAAGAATGGGGGGGGGGGGAAGAGGGGACTTCTACCTGCACATGCTTCAGCCGCTCAGGGAAGAATGTCAAGGCTGCTTGAATGATGCATGCGCTTTCTGCACGTGCACTCTGACGCATGCCATGTACTCTCCAACTCTCTTTGCAATGGGATTTGACAGTGTGCACACACTTGGTGCTGGTAACCCTGGTAACCAGACAGTTGCCGGTAGTACAGTCAGACCTCGCTTAAAGGGGAAGTTAAGGCAAAAATTAAAATTTCACCAGTTGTAGTCTTCGGGGTGCTTAGTCGAATGGTCTTGATCCGAGAAAGCTGAGACGCTCCCTTCCGACTTGAATCCCAATCGAACTCGCGCACTTCCACCGAAACTGGGTGACTGCGCCCTATTAGATGGGGATTTGTATGCAAAATGTCACTAAAAGCGCCATTTCGTTCTTATAAAAGCACAGATGACCGCGATGGGCCCATATGTTGTAGTCTTTTGGACGCTGAGTCGACTGGTTTTGGTCCGAAAAGGCTGCGATGCAGCGTTCCTCCTTTATTCCCAATCGAACATGGTTGAACAAGCGGTCACGTGCTCCTGCGTACACCAGTCAGCTGGTCACCGTGCCTGCAGGGTACAACTTACTAGCCTATTTGACCTTTTTTGGGTGCAGTCCTGTCACTCGAGTTGAACTCGAGTTGAACCTTGGTGTGAAAGTTGTCGCCTGCTTGCGTGGTGACCAGGTGATTTGGGCAGCCAGGAGCACGTGACCACTTGTTCAACTATGTTCGATTGGGAATAAAGGAGGAACGCTGCATCGCAGCCTTTTCGGACCAAAACCAGTCGACTCAGCGTCCAAAAGACTACAACATATGGGCCAATCGCGGTCATCCGTGCTTTTATAAGAACGAAATGGCGCTTTTAGTGACATTTTGCATACAAATCCCCATCTAGTAGGGCGCAGTCACCCAGTTTCGGTGGAAGTGCGCGAGTTCGATTGGGATTCAAGTAGGAAGGGAGCGTCTCAGCTTTCTCGGACCAAGACCATTCGACTCAGCACCCCGAAGACTACAACTGGTGAAATTTTAATTTTTGCCTTAACTTCCCCTTTAACCGCACACATCCGCTTTCCAGAAAAAAATCGATAGGCGAGGGAACCGGATAATCGAACACACATACTGTATGTGTGCATGGCATATGCTGTAAATCGGTAACCAAAGATTTTCTTGCGGATGGCGAGAGATCCGGATAAACGAGGACCGACTGTACTCTAATTCTGTACATGCATCATCGGCTAACGTACAGTCAACTTCGCTTATAACAACACTCGGCGGGGCATCAAAAAGGTGTCCTTATTCGCGAAGTGTCGTTATACCTGAAGTCTCATTATATGTATTACAATGGGACAGGACTTTGCTCTGGGCATGGAAATTCTGTCGCTATTCGCGAATTGTCGTTATATCCGCAGTCGTTATTAGCGAAGTTGACTGTATTTCACAAGCCTTCTTACCTTGACTGGTTTCAAGCTCTGACCCTCGGCATAAAAGCTGAACGGCGTTGTATCAGCTTTCCTGGTGACAAAAGGTAAAATGGCAAGAATAGACATCAAGAGAACCTCCACTTTGACATACTTCCAAATACATGTACTCAAGCTATCATTCGATGACCACTAACAGAACTCATTGGGAGAGAGAGAGAGAGAGAGAGAGAGAGAGAGAGAGAGAGAGAGAGAGAGAGAGAGACAGAGAGAGAGAGACAGAGAGAGAGAGAGAGACAGACAGACAGACAGACAGACAGACAGACAGAGAGAGAGAGATAGAGAGAGAGAGATAGAGAGAGAGAGAGAGAGAGAGAGAGAGAGATAGAGAGAGATAGAGAGAGAGAGAGAGAGAGAGAGAGAGAGAGAGAGAGAGAGAGAGAGCGAGACAGACAGAGAGAGAGAGAGAGCGAGAGAGAGAGAGAGAGCGAGACACAGAGAGAGAGAGAGAGAGAGAGAGAGAGAGAGAGAGAGATGGAGATAGAGATGGAGATAGAGAGAGACAGAGAGATGGAGATAGAGAGACACAGAGAGCTTGCCAGCACTCATGCAGGCAGAGGTATTCTTGTCATTACCTGGCTGGATCATGTGCAACAGATTTGGTCATTTGGAAGAGGAGACGGGCAGTTTCAAAAGGTGTTTCTGTTTGACGTACACGCAGCTTTGGACATAAAAGCTGCAAGGCGACAAGCATGTCATCCACCTGACAATACAGGCATGAATAAACAAGTCCATGCATATCGACACACATATGCAAGCGCGCGCACGCACACATGCACACATGCACACACACACACGTGCACACACACACACACACACACACACACACACACACAGAGCATAGGTCATTGCTCCTGCAGTACAGGTAAAAAAATAAAAAAAGTAAATTATCGTGCCTTCCCGAAGGGAACTCACGACGGCCGCTACCACCCGGTAAATCCTAGCGGCAGATGCAGCGCCTAACGGTGGGGGTGAGTGGATAAGTCTCACAACCACTGGCACAAGTGCCGAGAACGACCCCATTAGATGCAGTACAGGGACAGGTACCAAAAAGGTACCAAGAAGCAAGATCAAGACTATACGACTTTGAATAGAAAGAGAGAAGTATGCAACAGACTTGGGAGAAAGTAACCACGGTAAGTACAACGGAATACGTAGTAGCAAACAGCTGATCAAGCCTCACTGTCAACATCTTGGAATGTTGAAGCGAGAGAGCCCAGCTCAGGACCCTCACTATGCTTGTTCTTTGCCTATGCATGTAATATCAACATTGATGTCCTCATCATGATCATTTTGCCGAGCTCGCTAAGCTGGTGCTCAGTCACGTGTCATGGGTGAACGGCCATGCCTGGCGCACCGCCGGCCCTTTGTGCTCCTGACACGTGATGATGTCATGTGATATGCAAACATATCCACACCCACACATACCCCCCCCCCCCCACACACACACGTGCACATATACACACACACATAAAGTGATGTTGACCCTGGCACAGCTTCAGAAATGAATTTAAAAAAAGAAGCGTGATACCAACTCTGACCAACCTGCACTTGCGTTACACTTGCTGTTGGCTGTTGTTTCTTTGTAGCTTTACGTCGAACACCACCACCGCCACCACCATCGCCGCCTACAGTAGGGTCATCTTCTGTGTCACCAAGACGGCGAACTGCAGAGCGGAAGTCACGGTTGCCGGCGTTTTTGCATTGCCTGGGAGGAGGAAATAGAATTGAGAGAAAAAATATTTCATGGCTCAGGTGAGATTCAATCAGACTGGGTTTTGCACATCAGCAGGAACACCACCACCCCTTAAGATCAAGGCGCAGATGCAGCTTCTCAAGCGGTGGGAGATGAGTAGATCAGACCTGCCACAAAGCAATCAGAGATCGGAAACCCCACTCGCTGGATCCATGACATCCTTGTGCCAGGCCACAAGAAACCTCCGTTGGAAACGTGGAAGGCAGCTTACATGTCCCTCCCCTCCCCTCTTTCTCACCACCAGACATGCACACGCCAATGCTTATAGTGTTGTTTGATGTAACCCAAATAAGAGTAGAATTTCGGGGTCCAGCGATGCAGGATGTAGTGGCAACTATAACCCTATATTTTGAGTGGTGGGTGTCACCAAGAGTACACGTATGATCCCTTAATTCGCTAAATCCTATACAAATTAATAGTACAAATTACGTTCGGGCCTGATTGGAAATTTTTATTTCCATTGCTATCAGGTTCGGCCTCATTTCCTCTGTGCTGCGCTGATGAGTTCAAAAAGAACGAAACAGCATGCTGTCCGCAGATTGAGTAGTACAAATTATCGATAATTTTCACGAAACGAAAAAGTTTAGTTATGACCCTCCCCCACCCACCCACCCTCATGAACGAAAAATGTATTTACTTGACAGCTAGAATGTACTGATGTTTCAACTATCAATATTTTTTCATGATGAAACTCTCCTCAACCCACCCACCCATGAACGAAACTTCTTCTCTTCGTGAAGAAGATCGATAATTACGGATGGCCCCTAAATGGGTGTGGTATAAAAATGGTAAAAGGTAGGTGGCCAATTCTTCCTTATTTGGTCTCAATAGATATCTAGGATAGCATTGGATGTTTTTTCGAGTACAAACAGGCTCATCTCCCTGTGCAATTTTTGGAAGGCCTGTACCTTGGTTTTCGAATCCTATGATATGATTTGGGATTTTTGGACTTTGGTATTTCCTAATTAGGCTTGTATAAGGGATGTTTTTTTTCTTTCGCTTTTTACACTAACCAAAAAGGTTTCATCGGGTCCCCAAAAGACATTTTGTATCCATTTTTATCGTGTTGTCCTTGGACAGAGGCACATTTGGTTGTGTGCGAATTTGGACGAAGGTACCCATGTTATTGGGAGTAGATGGGGAAATAGCACTCCACTGTCCCAAAGAAGTCGTTTGTTTTTCAAACTTCTGTACGGGACAAATGGCAGCCTACTGGTATCCCAACTGGAAAAAAATTCTCGCAAGAAATTTGTTGTTGCAGAGAAAGAAGAAATTGGTTATTCCCCATCTACTCTCATACAAAGCCTATCTCTCTGACGTCACCCAGATGGCCTATGATGGACAAGTTCAGGGGCGTCGGAACCGGTGCGCCCAAAGACGCACCAATTATTTTTTCATCTTGAGTATTTTGAACTTGAAGCAATAATATATGGGCTATTTGGGCCTAATTTCCCCAAAATTTTCCCGGGGGACGACCCCTCACGTCAGAAGGTATTCGACAATTCAGTGCATTTTTCGCTACCAGTTTGAAGTTTTCATTTTTAGGGTGAACTTCCACATTAACGCTACAGACGCAGACCTGGCATGTCCGTCTCATTTATTTGGAATGTTTATCCCTCGGAAGGCGATCCAGCACATTGCAACCCAGATCAATCTGTTCTGGTCCCAGCAGTTAGCTGGCAGCCAATCCAGGTACCACCGCTCGTGCTTTCACAGCGGTAACGGACATTGTGTTGGACGCTTGGCTCAGTATTGCAGTCGCCAATGGATGTCACCCAGTCAACCGAACTCAGCTGATATGGAGTAATGAGTTTGCCTGTGCCTGTCCGAAACTTGCGGCAATCATGTCGCTAAACCGATTGGAACAAATAAAACGATACCTCCACATCAATGACAACTCGCATGAGGCATTGTCTACTGGTCGGTTGTTTAAAGTCAGGCCATTGCTTGACAAATAGGAGGGAAACTGTCGACGTGTGTACCACCCGAGGTGGCTGTTGATGAAATGGGCATCTCCTTCAAGAGACGCAGTCCATACAAGTCACAGATCACCTACAAGCGTGCGGGTGACGGGGTTCTTGTCTATGCGATATGTGATTCTTCCAACGGCTTCCTGTTCTCATTCCATTTCTCCTTTGACAACAGGCTTGCACTGCCTAACCCGAGATGGGAGAAAGTTTACAATGCTGTAGCTCTCCGCACGGATAGACATCCTGGCAAATATCATCACATATTTGCGGATAACCTGTGCTCAGCAGCGACCTTGTGGAGTGGGTCTAATTGGCAATAGTGTAGTCTACACTGGGACAGTGCGCTTCAACCGTGTGCTGAAGGAAGTCAAACAGGAAGTAGTGGCAAAGTCCCGGCTCCGTCAGGTCCAGGGAACCATTAAGACAGCATTCAGAGGTGCTGTGATTGTCAGCAGCTTCTACGACAAGAAGCCAGTTTACATGATCACAACCGGACACAGCGATGTACGCCTGACCCCCTGCTGTCCGGAAGCACAGTCAATGGCAGGAAGGTGGCTCACGGGCTATGATGGACGTTGAGGAAGAGAAACTGAATGTCATTGCTGACTACAATCAGTACATGAGTGGCGTCGATACAGCTGGCCAACTCCATGGCTACTATTCATGCCGAATCCGCAGCCGCAAGTGGTGGCACTCCATCGTCTGGTGGTTTCATGTACTCTTGGTGCCCGTGAACAGCGACAGCAGTATTCTTATGAGTCGCTCATAAAAGGCTCTGTGAATTTCTTGACGATTAGCGTTAGTTCACCCATGGCATCCTTTGATTTTGGTGTTTAGGTTAAGTTAGTTTGCTACGTAAATTGTACCCTTTGCTCGTTTGTCCTTTTTGCCATGACATGTCTCTTCGAGCACAAGATTTAATGGACCTTTTTTCTGGGCAGCTAGCTTCAAAGCCCAGTGCACAGTCACATGATGTTGACACAGGGCTTACTCAAATCTACTCACACATTCATTTATGCTAAAATAGACTCTCTTTTTACGACAACGCAGGCACATTTTAATCCATGATGGACATGACATTTCTTTCCAAAATGTGAGCTGCCAAATCTCCACTGTCCAATAGTATTATGAAATGTTGATCAATACAAGGCAGGTAGAAAAGCACGGCTTGATCACAAATCAAGAGAAAAAGGTGTTAATCAAGTGGGGTACTCGCGCTAAATCCCGACTTTGAAATTGGTGCACTCGCGTTACCAACACCAACAAACGTTGTTCACTCGAGCAAATCGCTGTCGTTCTCCGTGTGCACTGCGTCAATGGAGACAACAGTATAGATACGAAGCTGACGCAGATGTGTTTCTACCAATTGTCTAAGGGAGTTCGAGTCGATGGCCATGTGTTTCTTCGGAAAAACACAGCAAAAGACTGTCGCTTTTTGCCAACATTTCACCCCCCCCCCCCCCCGAATGCTGGATATGAATCAGCCAGCGCTGAGTAGTCTAAGGCCAAGTTTTTAAAAAAGATCGTTGATCGTCAGAAATTTCCGAAAAATCAGGGCGGACGGGAGGGTTTTATTTTCATTTTATAACTTTTTTTATATCTGCATCGACCGGACATCTTGAAATCTTAGCATGTACTACATCTATGAGGTTATGGCTGTACTACCATTGTTGGTTGTGACTGCTACCAGTCTGCCTGGGCACACTCCAAACACTTTGAACATGTGCAGATGACTCTGTGATACTGACTTTCACCAGGTTCGATTTATTTCGTCCACCGGAACAGTTCACTGGTGAAGAGCGAATGTCGTCGGAGATAGGGCTCTCACCGTCCAGCTTCCCAGCGCTAAACTCAGCGAAAACATCACTCAGTGTGCCATTGTCACGCACAACAACGCCATATCACGACTTCAAAATGTACTGCTAAAAAAAGTTCGCGTTTCGCTAAACACACGAGTTTTCTACCGTTGATCACGAAAATAAAAAATAAAATAAATCCCGGGACGGACTGAAAAATCGGGGCGGGCGCTGACGATTAACAATCAATTATTTTTACTTGGCCTAATGACACCATAATTATTATGGTGCACCATATTATGATGTCATTAGACTACTTTTCGTGTACAGTACTGCAATCCATCATTGTACTAGTGCGAAGATCCTATGTGTTGTCAGTTTGCAGTGAAGGACAAACTACACAGCTAACGTCTGTAGAGATTTTAGGCGTGCTTCTCAGCTTTTTTTTAAAACCATTGGTAATGTGTACTGTATGCACCGATAGCCCGATACCCAACCCGGAAAATACGGTAACCTTGGTATTTTACTACTTACTACTCCCTGGTTAGGATTTGCAGCAAAGAGACCATTTGGGAGATGAAGAAGTTCTAAATGTGTACAGCCATAAGGTACTAGTCTCTTCTACATTTCTCACGAGCACGACAGGGAAGGGGGGGGGGGGGGGGTGGAGGAGAAGCTCTTCCGTTTACAGTGACACCACACACACTCACTCTCTCTCACCCAAGATAAGACTTCACGCCGACAAGGACCAGCGTGACCTCCATTTCATCAAACGCATCCTGCAAGGATCTGCCGGAGAGCTGAATGGAGCTGTCGTCTCCCTCGCACTGTGCACACACAAACAAACCCACATGCATGCCACGCACGCACGCACACGCACGCACGCACACACACCATGTAGTACAAAAAAAGAAGGCCCACTGCAGGTCGTGCACAGGCTTGGTTTCTCATTGCCACACAGTATCAATACACGACTGACAAAGCGAAAAACAATCAGCAATCACAAACACACACGGTTAAATCAAGAGACATTTTACAAACACACACGGTTAAATCAAGAGACATTTTATTCACACGTCACACTAAAATTATTTCCCGCCATATTCGTCCAAGACGAGATGGTTGAAATACGTAAGTGGGCTAAAACCCTATAAGCACTTACTGTGCACGCACCTGAGACCTAAAAGAGACCATGGGCAAAGGTGTTTAGAACAAACTAATAGCAATACTATGCCAGGACTGAGTATCCAGTGCACCATTGAGCAGCTTGCAACGCCAGGCATTGATCATCACCATCTTATAAGTGCAGTATGCATACATGTAACATCACACAGCTGGCAGAAGATGCATTTCTGGGCAGTGAATCCCTACTTTTTGGCTTTCCTTTGTCACTTCTACCCGTCCACACCCACAAGTGGTCATTGCAAAGCTCTCACCTGCAGAATACACTGTGCAAACTCCTCTGCTGTCCACAAGACAGCTGCATGGCCTTCATCTATTGATTGGGTCTCACGAACAATATCCTGTCACAGATACGATACACGATAATAATACAAACACAGACACACAGACACACAGGCACACACACAGACACACACAGACACACACACACACGCGCACACACCCATGTACACACACACGATGAATAACTTGGAAACAGGCACTGTCATCTTGGCAAAACAGACACATTCTGATTTTCTGTCAGTATCAAAGTTGGATTTCGATTTTTTCCATTCACAACATACATCGGACACAATGACTAGATGGTCTGTGATGTAGATTTGTCCAAACAGCTACTCTTCCATAATATTCCGGTACCAACGGCAGGTTACAAACAAACAAATAATTATATGCTTTGCTTACACATTATAGCTTGGTGACATTGGCACCGGGGGCTCGAACACACTGCCCTGTGATAAAGAGTGTCATGCTCAAGCACAGACAGAGAAATGGAAGATTGCTATTTTTACTCTTCATCATCCGCATCAGCACAACGGGCGTACAGTACCTGCGAGTCCTCATCAAATGCTCCATGGACAACTTGTCGTCTCCAACGCACTGAATTGGCAACGGGCAGCCGCTCCTCTTCGACAACCACACCAAACGAAGCTCCTGCTACAGCAGCAGAAGCAGCTTTGGCATTACTGTTGCTGCTACCTTTATCTGCCGCAGCAGCAGCAGCAGCAGCAGCAGCAGCAGCAGCAGCAACAAAAGACAAGACAGTGTCGGCAAAATGTTCACACTTGCCACACTTTACAAAGAGAAACCGACAGAACAGATCCAATGTAAAAAAAATTCAAGATTAGGCAACAGAAATTGTTCAATTTTTTCCTTGTAGCGGTAGAGTTATGATGGACACCATGTGTCATTGTATTATGTTGATGAGCTTAAAAAAATTCACGGCTCGCGTGCGACTCGGCTGGAAACCGAGTTTTCAGCGTCCGTAGGAACACCACCACCCTGCAAAAATCTAAGGCACAGATGCAGCTCCTAAAGCGGTGGCAGGTGAGTAGATCAGTCCACCAGCAAAGTGGTCAAAGACCGAAAATCCCATTCACTGCATCCATGTTTTCCTCGTGCCAGGCCACGAGCTTGATGAGCTTCGCTCATTGTAAATTTGCAATCCTCTCTCCAATGAGCCCTCTCTCAGGCTTCTTTTGGAGATGTTTCTTACCAGGTTACATGTGTGAGATGCACATGGCTAGCAGCATCATGGATACCCGGCCAGCAGTGCACAGCCCAGGCCCCTTCTAGTAACTAAGCTACACCCAAGAGCAAGGTCTTACACACTTGAACATGTCCAGAGGGCAGGTGCAGCAGGTAACTTACTGTACATGTAATAGCCAAGGCACACGTGCAGACACTGCTAGTAAAAGGACAACACTCACCAGCCGCGCTTCTTGAATCCGCTGCGAAGCCACCACTCTCCGGACACCCAGTGAGCATGTCAAAGATGGCGGCCCAGTGGGGAAAGTCCCAGAGTCGTGAGTCAGCCAGCAAGCGCATCATCTAAGAGCACAAGTAATACAATGTAGTTACACAGAGTACATAACATGGATTACCGTATACCATTCCCACTCTGTGTATACTGTATCCCTCATATTTTCCCTCGTGCTAACGCACTCGTGAAATATTCGGTTGTACATGTATACCACTCATCGTCATCGTCCTGTAAAGCGGGATTCACAGAAGCATTTTTTGCGATGCGATGGGCGATGCGACGCGATTTGCGATGGAGGCGTGCGATGCGAACTCGCGAAATACCATTCACAGAAGTCAGCGATGCGATAATGCATTGCTGCAAGAGTACATAACCCCCCCCCCCCCCCAGAGTGTGCAACTCCCACATACCCTGCTGTCCCGACAGAATTTCAAGTTGACGTCATTATTAATGACGCAATGCTCCTTGCACCAGTGATTTACAACATGTGTACGGGTGTCAACGCATCACACGTTTTTCTTTGCAATAATTTGTACAGGATCGATCGGCTTCGGTCAACCACAGCCCACACAGGTTCCGGATTCGTCTGATAATCCGTGTACAGTGCGCATTGCATCATCAAAATGACGTCAACTTGAAATTCTGTCGGGACAGCACCCATAGTGGAGTTGCACACTCTGGGGGGTTATGTACTCTTGATTGCTGATTTGGCGCTAAGTTCAATGCAGGTGGGTACGTCACCATGGTATTCGCGCGGTTTGGTACAACTTGCACAAATTTACAGGCAACTCTTGAACCTTTGCACAACTTTGCTGTAGAAAAGGTCAACATCGTACGCCAAATCGCTTGTCGCATCGCAGTTGCAGGAGTTGCGTGGGCTGCGAGATGGCTGCGACTTGGGGATTTCCCGGTTTCGCGGCTGTCGCATCACAAAAATGCTTCTGTGAATCCCGCTTAACAGTCGGCATTCTTTGTTGCCGTGGGACTTAGCTTGTGCACATTTTCGTTACGCTCACCTTCCCCTCTTCGGTCCTACATAACCAAGAACCTTCCAAGTTGGAAGGCTGTTGGTTTGCGCACTGGAGATGTCTTAGAGCTACAGTTCATTCACAAAAAGATGGGCCCTGGCCCTGGCTCTGGCGAGCTCCCGTATTAGGTGATTTTTCAAGATTTTATCGTACACAGTGCAGTGCTGTGAAATTTGAAAAAGGGTCCAAAAAGGGTACCTGAACTGGGGTTCGAGCCGTACAATGCACTGTTGCAGGCAGGGTCAAACAGCCTGGATTTTCCCAATTCAGTGCTCTTGGGGCAAAACCTGGCCGAAATCCTATTCTTACTATGGCTTGCTTTTTGGAGAAATAGACTTCAGAAACATAATTGGAAAAGGATTCCAAAGATTGCAGAAAAAATTCTAAAAAAACTCAATGTTTGACCCATTTATGGCCAAAAGCTAGAAGTCCATCTTTTTCTGAATGGACTGTAGGTGTCAGGTCGTTGAATGTCTTAGTAGCCTGTCAGTTTTGTGCCCTGTTATCGCACTTTCTGACTGTTTATCATCTTGTTACAGTCGTGGATAGTTGCTGCATAACTTCTCATGTGTTTTCTTCTCTCTCTTTTTTACATTTATTACTGGCTCAGTGTCCGAGTTAAAAAGTTAGCACTTGCCCACAATTTTCCTGTAACGAGCACTGTGCGAGAGTACCCTAACCGACAACCAGATCACCTTGCATACCAGGTAAGGGAATCATTGCACCCAATGCTACACATGTACAACATACCTTCAGAGACTGTTCACGGTTGTTAGCTTGTCTTGACTCTGCAGAGATCTATAAGATGAAAAAAAGTGCAAATACACAGACAGAGACAGCATCATGACTTGAACAAATAGCCAAAGTACACAACAGGAACAAGAGTCAAGAGTGAAGACGGATACTGATAATAGTTGAACACATCGATGTTTTCCTCAGAAATGATGTTGAATGACAAGGACAGGGAAGAGGAATGAGCGAATAGCAATGTGATAAAATACTACTACAGTGGTCCGTCTATAATCCGGCACCATTTGTGTCACGGAAATCTGCTGGATTAGGGAGGGTGCTGGATTAACAAATCTGATTTTCTGCTAGGAATGTGCATGAAGAGGACATTTTGCCTACTGAAAATTGTGCTAGTTTATCGAGGGTGCTGGATTATAAAGTGCTGGATTATAAAGTGCTGGATTATAAAGTGCTGGATTATAAAGTGCTGGATTATAAAGTGCTGGATTATAAAGTGCTGGATTATAAAGTGCTGGATTATAAAGTGCTGGATTATAAAGTGCTGGATTATAAAGTGCTGGATTAGAGAGGGACGACTGTAACTGTTAGGAGCAAAAACTGGGGCATGAAACCACAAAGTGATAGTAACAAAGACGGACAGACAGACTCACACACTCACACACACACACGCACACACACACACACACATACATACACACACACACACATGTACACACAACAATACAAATGCGTCACCCAACACTACACACAGATACCCTGGACCAGACAGCCAACAAGCACCTATGGGAGTACCACATTACGCCTCCGAGGGCGGATACCATGCCAAAGACACAACGCATCACAAACAACAAATCAGAACAATAACATCTCAAAGTCAATGTCGTACCTTCTTGGCTGCCTTCTCCCTAGCCTTATCCAATTGCTTCTGTTGCTTCTCAGCAGCTTTCTGAGATTTCTTGGCCTCTCGTTCACGATCCTTTTTCTACCAAAGGCAACAAAGAACAGAAAGGCTACTCTCCAGCAGGTAAACAATCCACTCATACACAATGCCTAACTCGATAGTTGTAAGAGGAAATATCAGATAGGAAGTGTTAGCGTGCAGTGGCAGGGGAACACGCATGTCAATTCGCGCCCCAACTTGTCAGTCGGGCACATGTATACAATACATTGTACCAGGGAGTAATAAAATACTGGTATTTTATTACTCCTTGCATTGTAAAAGTACACCATCCAGACAGAGCTGTCAGCTCTCACGTGCTTACTCTCTTCTGTTCTGCATGCTCTTCAGCCGTGAGTCTTTTCCTCTTGGTGGACACAGGCAGAGGGTCAAGGCGGACGGTATCGCTGTCACTTCCATCTGATGGTAAGCACTGCTCCTTCTCCTTCCAAGCTGTCAAGCGTGTACCACTACCGCTAGCAACACCGCCCACGCCAATCAACCTCACCGAAGACCCTGCACCGACAAAGAGGCAAACACCCTAGTTGACCTGGAAATTAGGGGTAAAACGAGTATCTACTTTGACCGATCGATCACTCATTCATAACATTCGACCGAGTATTCGATTACTTCGAGCACATGAACATGTGCATGGACATCAGGATGGTGCATGACTGTGCACAGGCAGGCAATTGTACTGTGTGTGTGTGTGCTTGCATAGGACTGCACAATGTACATACCACTAGAGCATTCACTGCCAGTATTGCCATCGGCACAGCTATACGTCGTAGCACGGCCCGCAGCAGCAGCCAGAATACCAGTGTCATCCAGCTCGTCTATGTCATGTGTTTCAGCATAGTCGATAAGGGAGAAGCTTCTAGAGTCGATGCTGTCCCGCCGTGCGGGTTCACCCTTTCCTGCTGCAGTAGCAGTGAACCTACTGGGTGCAGTCGCTACAGGCTGTCGTGACAACATCTTCAGGTCGTCGTCATTATCATCGCCATCGCTAATTGAGATATCAGACTCATCGCCGAATATAGCCGAAGTGGGGAATGCACGTGTTCGAATGGGAGGAGGAGAATCAGCCCGCACAGGAGAAGGAGAATAAGCACGGACAGGAGAGGGAGAATCATGTCGAAAGGGAGAGGCAGATCCAGAGTGTGACTGATTTCGCGATAAGGTGCTCGTGTACCCAGAATGCTTCGTTGCCACTGGCAAGACATTGGACGTAGGTTCCGGTACTCCGTCGAGAAACTGCAAAACACACGTGGAAGGAGAAAAATCACGACAAAACGAGATCAGTGTACATTGGTATTACTGATATTTTCGAACTGAATTGTACCATCAAACCCGTCCCCACAGCTCCTGATCCTCTCGCTTCTACTAGTATGTGAACACAATAATAGAAAAGCTGACAGGATCGCTTTTCTAAATGTACCTACTGGGACTCTACAAATGAACAGTAGAACAAGGAAGGTCGTCAAGACAACAGATAGCGGTCGCCAAGACAACAGATAGAGATCGAAGAGCATGTCTAGTCTTGTAGTAAACTTATCATCAGCCAATTACTGCACAGTGACTACAAGAGTTCGGGTCACAGCAGCAAATTTGTTGTTTCTCGTCACTGCCCATGTACCTTTTGAGGTTTTCACCTGACAGAAAGAGAAAGAAAGATATGCGTGTATATGTGTATATGATTTCAGTCATGGCAGTCAAAAGACTAGAATAGCCATGACTGAAATTCTAAACTTTGGCAGTTTTCAGTAAATAACAAAACAATATGCACAGAAGACCACAGACAATCTCAACAACCTACTTGGCCATCGAGGAAGCGGTTAATGGTTGACTGTGCGCTGCCAGACACAAGCAAGTCACGGCGGATGTCGGCTCGACTCAGTTCCGGACAGAAAGCCAGCACAGCATCAACATCGCTATCTTTGACATTGACATCTAATCTGGCAGGCAGGGCCTCTGCTGATGCAGTTGAATCGGCTTTCGCACGCACCGCAGCAACACGGACATTACTGCGAGGACGTTGGAAATCAGGTAGAACGCCAGGTAGATCGTCGTCATCGTCATCATCAGAAATCATGCTGCCACACTTGAACACGATTGGTCCACGGCGGAAGCAACAGTCTCTTATGAATGTGGTTTCTCTTTAGTGTGCATGTGTGTGTGTGTGTGTGTGTGTGTGTGTGTGTGTGTGTGTGTGTGTGTGTGTGTGTGAGCAGATGTTTCGGCAGTGCACGCACAGGTGTGCGGTTGCGTGGCTGTGTCTGCAAAGAAACAGCAGCAGCAGCAATCACCTGCAGCCACAAATACGCACATACAGACATGCTTACAGGGCAGGATATGGATAAGAGACTCAGAGGGAATTCCCAAGTAAAAAAAACAAAAAACAATACAATAGATATTCTGGACAAATTGAGTCTCATGTGACAGGCTGACGTGCTCAACGCCCACCAGTAAATCCCCAATTACGAGTGTCGCACCACACTTCCTTACAGAATTGCCATGCCATATTATGATAATTATATACATTAAACTAGGGCTGAAACAATTATACCGATAACTCGCATATCGATCTCTAAGAGTGCAATCGATAATCGTCAGTGTTCAAAACGAGTGCTAACGATTTTTCATGCATGCATATCAGTGACAGTATTCTAGCCCTTGCACTCCATCCGGTAGTTAATACCAGTACTTAAGTACAATCATGTACTTTCAAGTGCAGTAAAATAGAGTTGTGGCTTTGAAAGAGATCGGGAGTGAAGACTTTGTCTTTTCGGTTCATTTCCAGGAGAGGTCGGAGATAAGAGCAGTTGCCAGAGGGTGATGACAAGATTCTTCGCTCTAGAAACAACATGACATTTTCTAGGTCATGTTGATAAAACCCGCCAGATGTCAACAGTGCGGAGGCACAAATTGTTAACGTAGCAAAGGTATCGTGGAATTTCTTCATAAACTGGTGTTCGACGTACATGTACACGGGTAGAGCCAACAAGAATCGATAAAACCAATATTATATCAATCGTCAGTGATATTGGTTGATCGTTAGGAGTTATTGAATGATCGTTTCAGCCCTAACACATTTCCATTCCCGATCCCCCCTCCCCAATACTTACACATACACTCAAACGTCTCTTATCCGGACGCCTCAGATACGGGCACGTCTCTCTACCGGGCACCTTCAGCTTGAGTTCCTATGGCAAAATGCTTCGAATTTGGGGGTTTGAATTTTTTTCGTATGGACAAGTGCTTATTTTGTCACTATCAACCTGTGTAATCCACACGTCGTTATCGATCGATCATTTTGGTATCCTTAACATGTGCAATGGTTGCCAAATAAACTTCTTCAACGAATGATATGATACATAGTAGATAAGTTATCCTGCGATACGGGCAAATCTGAGATATGGGCAGTGCCCGGTCCCAAGGTGCCCGGATAAGAGGTGTCCAAGTGTAATCATGAAGATCTCGGGTGCAAAACACGACATCATATCCATTTCAATACTATTCGAACAAAAGAAAGGATCTCTGCATTCTGAATTTCGGACCACTTTTCAACGACTGGGTTCGAGAGTCAGCGAGGCAGTCAAACTTCCGGGAAAGTTTCACAGGGAGAGACTGCCGAGTTGAAAATTGTTTTCAATTTCTTGTTTGAAGAAAACCTGATACCATACAATGGTGTAGAGATATAGCAGCCTCACTAGTCACCATCAGGATCCACTGAATTCACGCTCTTGCACTTGTGTATGGCTGATAGTCTCTAATCATCGCTTACACAAATCTAGTAAGCTGATTCTTTATTCTGCACAATGCCTGAAACAAAGATGTCCCATGAACGAGTAATAATACTTGATGTAGATCTACATTATGTAAACATCATAGCAGCTGCCATCTACACATTAACAATTTACTAGTCTGAACACTCACATCAGATGGTCTCTTTGCTGCAAAAGTCTCTCCACATCGATTCACCAAATTTCCCGGCATAGCCCACTCTCAGGGCGAAACGATAAAACTAAAGACGAATAACAAAGAAACGAAGTTTACATGCAATGAGGTGCGCAGTAGAAAAGTGTTGACGATGCATGTGAGAAATGTGTTAGCTTTGGTGTGCATATGTGGAGAGTAGGAGCACTGATGACAAGGTGCCCGAAGAAAGGAAGGGAGAGAAGTTATGTCTGTGTGAATATAATAGTGCGAAATAGAACAGATATGCTGTGGAGCTTGAGCTACGTTTAGGCATAGCACGCACGCCCACACACACAAAAATCAAACATTATTGTGCTACTATGTGCAACATCACAGCCAAAGTCCACCACCACACTAACAACACACTTCCTACTTGAGCAATCAGCATGTTAGTGTGGTAACGGGCTTTGACGGTGATGTTTCGCATGTTGCACGCCAGAATGGCAAAGTAAAGTTTGATGTACCTGTATGTGTGTGCTGCTAGCTGGTTGTGCCAATGTCGTAAGTAGCAGATATTTATCTTCACACTTGACTTGGCATTTCTCACACTCCCTTATCTTATCACTTTTCTACTGCACTGCACAGCATATCAACTCGATTTCTTTGTTGTTCGTCATATTAATCTGTTTTCGTTTCTCACCCTGAGGATTGGCCAATTTAGTGAATCAATATGGAGAGATTTTCGCAGCAATGAGACATAATTATGTGAGTGCTCAGAGTAGGTACATGTAAAGTACTTATGTTCTCTTGTAATGACGTCGTTGTAGCAAGACGCACATCTACAAATTACGATGCTTTCACTGGCTAGTAGATACTCGCAGGCAATAAGGTAACAGAAACAGACGTACTCTCGAATCTCTCAAGTTAGTCCAGCTGAAACCGATCACGACACTCAGTGGGTGTCAAGTTTGCTCAGTTTGCCAGGAGACGATGGCGTAGACCTGTGGACATCGGCAGAATCCTCTTCCACTGCGATGCTTTCTCCGGCGACCAGCTGCGCGCACTACACCAGTAACTACATGTACTAACCAACCCTGCTAAAGTGTGGTCCAATAGTATTACAAATAGCGATATACTGGTCTGCAATGCTAATGAGTGTCAGACTTGTCCCAAACATAACACCGACATGTACCAATCCACAGGTAGGTCTACCAGTGTACAAATAATTCAATGGTGTACGTCTTTTGAAGTTTTGTTTGAGAGTCCCTCGTGTTTTCATCATTTCCCCAATTCCCGCGCCCAGGGAAAAAAATTGTGAGAAAATGGTACAAAATCTGTACAATCATGCAGTGGATTATGCGTTCGTTTTCTCAATCCGGATTCCGTTTACATGTAGCTGTTCGGAGAACATGTGCGCATAGCATGGGCGGTCTGAGGCCCAGCGATCTACTATTCTGGGAGCCGGCCGTTGACAACTAATTATTATTACTTGACCAGGTTGACCTGCATAAAGCCTAAAGGGGTGGTACGTGCGTGGTGTTGATCCTCCCATTCTTCATAATGTTTGGTACGACTATACTGCGCAATCGCGACTACTTTTGCAGGCAGTTTTGCGAATAACGACCTTGGATTGGCCCATGGCATGGGCCTTGTTTTTCGCGAGGTTGAAGTATGTACAGGTTCCTGCACGAGTATGAGGGCAGTACCGCGGAATCCAGCCCGCGCCGCGATAGCGGCAAGGGCTGGATGAACAGCGGTACTGGCCGAGTATGAGTGACTGGAACGTGTTTCCCGTGTGCACCCAAGCCAAATAAAGAGATACATGACAGACACACCTGCATTGTGTTTTGTGATTGTTTTCTGGTACAGTTTTTTTGTAGTAGTCCATAGTGCTTTTTTCTCGCGGTGCCATTGACATTGTCGACTGGGCATCGGGCATTCTGTCTGTTCTGTTCCTACGGATTTTTCCCACGTCTTGATCGGAAACCTCGGCAAATTGCGCGGATCCTGCACGGGTTGCTGAGCATTGCGCGCTTTGGTTGAGGCTCATCCGGCTCGTCCAAGATCTCCTTCGCGAGCGACTCCGCATTGTCCGCAATAAAAGTTTCAGTCTCTTCCTCAACTTTTCGGAGGAGCTCATTCGCATCAATATCGTTCAACAAAGGGGCTTCTTTTCTCCCAGTTCCAGATCAAATGTTGGAGCGCCATGATGACAGTTGTGGTTGCAAACAGTCGCTCTTCTGCTTTAGTTATTTTATTAGTAACCAATGAAAGACCTTGAAGTTGAAGTAGAGTCAGGCCAGTGGCTACTGCCCGACGGCCAGTTGAATCCGTTCCTGTCCGTCGTCAAGTGACGACGGGCAGTGGAATCCGTTCCTGCCCGTCGTCACTTGACGACGGGCAGTGGAATCCGTTCCTGCCCGTCGTCACTTGACGACGGGCAGTGGAATCCGTTCCTGCCCGTCGTCACTTGACGACGGGCAGTGGATCCAGTTCCATCACCTTTGAGCAGGCAGGACCGCGCTTTCCAGCCCGCGCTGTTTGATCTGTCATTGGTCAACTCCAAGGCGACAATCACGTGACATACGGGAACAGGGCTTCTTGGAACAGTACGGTAGTTGAATCACTGAATCACTAGTCACTGATGATCGCCGAATGGTTGCAAAGCTGACATTGATAGGTGATTATGCGTGTACCACTGTAGTGTGAAAATGTGAAACGATCGTTGGATAAAGGACATCACTTGGGATGATGTGTCCGTATTCTGCAAGACGCCAAGAGGACGTTCTGAGTAGCGAATGCCAATGACGCAAGTAACAGTTAGAGGGCTCATCTACACAGGGCCGCTCCCTGCCTTACCAAAGGGGCGTGCGTCTTCGAGCCCTTCACATCACAATGCGGCGTGGGCGTATTGGTAAGCTGCGGTCTATCAGCTATGATGAGACGTGTTACGTGTACCATGGTGTACGGTGACGGGTCTCACTTTCTCAGTTCTCTGCTGCCGAGTGTTGCGTTTTCGACTCAAGTGTTCGTAGAGCGGCGGCCTGTGTCACCATGGTCACTGTGTGGAGTAAAAATTTAATGATGCTCCCCGTGGCTGGCCCTGGCCCAATCATGTGGAGGAAATGATTGACAGTAACTGTTGCATAGCTAAGATCCTGTATGACCAGACATTGTGCAATGTAACAGTGAATCAGATCAAAGTGCAGTGGCCCGGATTCCTCACTTGGCATATATAATACCATGATTGTGTGTCTGCACCCTCACAAGACCTTTTGCACTGCCGGCATGGAAGTATGGCAACACACACAGCGTGGCATTGCTAATGGATTGCCCTGAGTCGTACCCTTGCTGGAGAGCGGCTGGATACACCGCCGCCAACGAATAGACTCTGTGGCCTAGTGAAGATAACCGTTGGTTGCGATTGGGGCTAACGCTGCGTAGAGATGCTGCACATTGCGGAGACACACCTCCCTGTTGATGCTATTGGGGCTAACGCTGCGCAGATATGCTGCACATTGCGGAGACACACCTCCCTGTTGATGCTATTGAAGACTGGTGTTGCATAGGTAGGAAGGACACACTCATACTCACTGCTGTTGAACATCTGTCGCATAGGATGGATCACAGCTTCGACCACGCTCTCCGGTCCAGCACGTAACTGGAGACAGCCAGCAGCATTTTGGTCCTGATCACCCATGAGCACGAGTAGGCTTTCCCAAAATCGGCCAGCCGAAAAATTCGCCGAGAATGAGACTTACTGAAAATCTCTAAGCTTTTCGCCGATTATGGAGGGTTCGCCGAAAATCTACCAAATGTTGTTGCAAAGTGCCAGGCGCGTGCTCGGCGATGGGCACGGGGGGGGGGGGCACGTGCACCCCCCAAAATTGTCAATCCGGGTAATTGCAATTGTAATGTATGCAAATATGCTCTAAAATTCAAGAAAGGTTGCAAACAAACTGCAGAAAATTGCCGGGGGGGGCTCCCCTCGGCTCCCGTGCACCCCCCTAGTTGGGGGGCCGAGCACGCCCCTGAAGTGCGTTTACGAAGTGAGGAACGAATGATTGTTGCTGCAAGTGCAAGCATGATCGCTCGACCTCTCTACTTCAGTGCTTGTAGTGCTAGTGCGTTGAGGTCGTGTGACTCGTCTTCCCTTGACCTCCTCTCAAACAAACACTAGCCAATATGAAGACCGCTACTGGTAAAATACTACACTACAACGTACAGTTGTGGCCAGTTCCATCTACCAGAGCTGCATTTCCAATATCTCACCAATGTTGAAGCCAATATGCCAACAATCTTTTAGCCGACTTTCCAATACATTCCAATTTTGCAGCCGATTTTCGAACAATCACGGCTGATTTTGCAGCCGAATCTGATGTATTTTTGAGCTAAGCGAAAGGTTTACCGACCATTCACCAAATGACAATTCACCGAAAGACACTTCACCGAAAGACAAATCATCGAATGGACAATCCACCGACTGGACAATTCACCGAAAGACCCTTCACAGAAAGACATTTCACCGAATGGCTATATCACCGACAAGACAGCTCACCGAAATTCTACTGTAAATTCACTAAATTGTAATGACTGGTTCGTAGTCAGGCTAACTTCACCGGCGCTGAGTTTCGCAGGGCTGAAATGCTGGTGTAGTATCCCTAACTGTCAGTAATCACACAGCCACATCTCTACCAGTAGTTAGATTGTAGTTCACAGGTACATTCTATCTACATGTAAGTGCTTCTCACGCGCAACCACAATGTAGGACTAGATTGCCCTGCTTGCAAGACCGGTACGGCATGACCTATTGCGTTCATGCTGTACTAATACATTACATTGATTCCTCTAGGGGCCATCCGTAAATATCGATAGTTTTTTCAATCCGTGAATTTTACAAAGTAACCAGGACCCGGGGTACCCACCACCCACCCCCCTACTTTTTACGGAATAAAATATTGATGACACATGTACTGTACCTAGTGTAGTATCCCGGACTGTCAGTGATCACACAGCCAAGTCTCTACCAGTAGTTACAGGAACATTCTAGCTAAGTGCTTCTCACGCGCAACCACTTAGGACTAGATAGCCCTGCTTGCAAGACCGGTACGGCCGCATGACCTATTGCGTTCATGCTGTACTAATACATTACATTGATTCCTGTGTAGTCTGTTCCCCATCACTGACCCTCTTGATCCCTTGCGAGATTCTAGGCATCCAACAGCTTTCTTCCCCGAATCCATGTTATTGTTCAGCCCTAGCTCACACACATTCAAATGGCTTTTCCTTAGAACTTTCAACAGTTGTCTTCCTAGTAATCTTTTGCCCTCACTCCCAGCTGCTCTGTCCCTCTGGCCTATATAACCCGCTGATTCTTCTCAGTTCTGTGTGGAATTATGAAGTGAAGAGTCTAAGCCCAAGAGCTTGTTTTCCTCCCGCTAGTGCTGTCAGCCTGTATCACTTTCTGTTGTAAGCCCAAAGTGCCTCAGACACGAGCAGGCTGGCAGACACTACATTGGTGTCAGAAGTGTTTCGTACCTTACGTGCTTTGTTATATTCTCTGTATTCCGTAGTCCCCGTCCTTTCCTTTGTTTCCTGACCTCTCATCCATTACGTAGTTCTCGTGTATCATTAGTATGGCTCAGCAACAACAACAACCCGCTCCTCGTCTTGAATCGTGGTCTTCACATTGTCGATAGCATCACTTTAAATAATAATAATTCGCGGGATTCGCGTTGGCATCGCTTGAATGTTCAGAAACACACAAACTAGCCTTCGCTTCCGCAGGCCACCACTATGCCTATGCCTTGCACACCTTAGTGGCGAATGCAGACCTCACAAGTGAGTCAGGGGAGAGTAGGTGAGTCTCTCAACCAATCGGGCGTGTAACGGCCCATAACCCTGTAAACTGCATCCTTGTTACCCTCACTCCGAGCTGTGAGTACCCAGTTGACCGTGGGTGTCGGCGCAGTTCACCACACATAAAAAGTCTTTACTCACGTAAAAAGTCTTTACACGCTCCCTGCTACCAGCGCGGGTCTCGAACTCGGGACCTCATGATTCGCAGGCAAGCCTGCAAACCAATCGGCCATATGCGTTGGTCTCATCATTTTGCGTGACGTAAAGAGTGATGGTCTAGCCAGGAAGAGTGTTGACGAAAATCTGCATCAAACCACGGAGGCGAAGTACC